GGCTCCCTCGCCTGGTCGCTTCGCGCCCGAGCAGGGGCGTGTACAGGGGGGGTCCAGGGAGTCCAGACCCCCCCCTTGCTCGCGCAGAAAACGCATCTGAGGGGGTGTAATTTTAAAAAATTTCTGGGGGAGGGCCTACTATCTACTATCTACTTTCTAGGGCGTGCTCGCAACTATGGGTTACGGTTAGACCCCCCTGGTACAAATCTTGTACACGACCCTGCCGAGCAAATTGCCAACATTGAAAAACGAACCCCCCCCAATAGAAAGCTGGCTACGGGCCTGTCCATAGACCATATACACGTCGAAGACTTGTGATAAACTATTATAACACTGGGCCACCATACTCAGTGGTATATGGTTATGTTTATGTATTATAACAGTGGGCCACATCGAAGACTTGTGATAAACTATTATTACACTGGGCCACCATAGTACGCATACTCGGGATGGTTTAAGAAAAAATAAACTTTTATTTGTGACGTCAGAATTTGAGTAAACGCAGAAAAACAGAATTAGCCGATCAACTAATAGATTTGTGAGAACCGACTCATACTGGTTTGTTGTCAGAGTGACAACCAGGGCTGGGGGGCTAAACTGCAACACACTCTGCCTAATAGACATTTAACGGTCACCACAACAGAAACAGAAACCTGTGTCTACCCCATCACAATGTTCTTCAGCATACAATATTTCCATAATATATATCCTTTGTTTGTATATTTTTGTGGCACACAGCAGAAATAGAAAGGCATTTTAACATACAAAGATGAATTTTAACAATCTATATTCTACTACAGTCTACATGTGATGTTTATGTGTGATTTAGTTACTACAATAGTTGCCCACATTATAGTATAATTTGACAGAAATATTCATATATTTTTCAAGTTCATACCATATGATAGATAAAGCTATTATTATAACATAGTGTACCTGCGATATTTATATATCATCAGGGGTTAATAATGACAAATTTGTCATTATTAACCCCTTATATCATTTAGTCCCATAGCATTCACTACATAAAGTTACGTTATAATGAAAGACCAACATCGAAAAACCTCGCATAAAATGCATTTATATTCAAGGATCTTTATTGCTGCAGTATGCATATATATTTGTGCCTTTCATAAACTATGTTTAGTTGATGTGCAGCAACCCATTACATTTATGTGTGTTCCAAATAACTTATATGTTTAGAAGGATTTGTTATTATATGCAACAAATCGCGAAACCTTGGACAAACTAGAACTAGAACGACAGACAGGCTGTATAGTATACTGCTGCAAGCTGACCTTACCTTGCCCGTGGAATACAGTTGACCGGACGACAGTTCAACGAATCGCTTCACTTTACGACGTGCAGCCTCCGCAGCGCACATCTGTGTCAACTTCAGAATGCCATCCTGAGTGCAAAGCGAGTAAAGCCATGAGTGACTGCTCATATACTCTTGTTCACTGCCTGCCTGGTTAACTGCATGTGAAACTTTGTTATTTACCTGCCAGCCCACCTGTCAGTCTACCTGCCTGCCTGCCTATGCATAACTCTACCTGTAAAACTGCCTGCCTGACACTGCACTTGTCCACCTGCCTGTCTGCCGGAAACCTTTTTAGCTTCCCGTCTGTCTATCGGTCTAAGTGCTTCCTTGGTTATATGAATGACTAGCTACCTACCTGATGTATGAAGAAACGCACACAAAAATCTAAATACACAAGTATAAATGAGTCACTGCAATGCACAGGTAGCTTAACGGAATTTCGCATCAGGAACGATCACACAACTGTCCAGTAAAACACGGAAGCAGTCGTTGTTAGTAAAGTTATACACATCAATAAGATTACGGGGGCTCGCTCCTACACCTTGTAAACGGCATCTCCTTGTCCGTACTTGGTTTCCGCAGCTAGATTTATCACAAAGTCGAACCTTTCCTGGCCATCCGGTTGCTCAAATGCACGCTCAACAGAGGCTGAAGAAGAAGGTCATTAGCAAGGTCATTAGAAAGGTCATTTTCAAATTTGACATTTTGTCATTATTAACCCCTGATACAAGTGATACTTATAACACTGCCAACGATCACAAGATTTACGCACTTTTTGAACTTTTAGTTTGGGTTGTTGCTTATGTTTCATCATGTTTCTGTTCATTCACAGGTTAAAATAACAAGTGCCGCAGAGCGACAGGGCTCATCTGGTGTCTGGTGTTCTGCTGATAAATTCATTTGTGCATAGCAAGACGTCCTATACATACAGTCATTTCTAACCCCAAAAAACAACACTTCAAACTAGTGTAATAAAATTCCGATAGATGGCGGGCCGCTATCAAAGGCATCGTTGCATCGGTCAGCCAAAGCATGGCAGCTGTCAGTGTGACGACAGATTGCAAAAAGCAGGAGCGAATAATTACCATATTATTACTATAGATAACGTGCGTTCTATGGTGTCAGGTAATAACTATAAGGTACATTAACCCCTTGCGAGGCACATCTGGCTCATTACAAAATAGCTCAATGGTTGATACAACCAGAGCA